GAATCCCACATCACTGTCTTGAGGATTCAAGCAAGCAGGTGAAGGTAATGAAGTCTAGGAATCTCAGGTGCTTTCAGACTACGTTCAAATGAAAAGGCTGTGGAGGGCTGTTGGGTACTTTGTGTACTCTGCAGGGTAACACTGGACACAGCTAAATCCCTGCCCCAACATGAAGCTAGCATAAAGCTCCCCAAGGCTAGACAAGAACAGGAATTGGAAGGCATTATCATGTAGATGCCCTTTAGGACCATTTGGGGAAATCAAGGAAAAGAACTCAAGAGTGTAAAGAAACTTAACGTCTGGAGACGGAATCACAGAATAGAAGAAACAGACTTCAGGTGGCCAAAGCGGAAGTGAGGCCCAAATAATGCTAAGAGGTTTGGGAAGGTCCAGGGGAGGAGGAGTAATCCCAATGGGCTTAGGCTGGGGTGGGAGGAGCAGGGAGGGAAGACAGACTCTTAAGTGCTGCTTGAATAAAGGGCTGAAGTTGGATCTCTATCTCATCCTGTACAAAAATCAACTCAAAACGGATCAACAGCTTCACTATAAGACCAGAAACAAGCCACGCTTGGTGGTGACATCTGTTAGCCCAGAACTGGGAAGGTCAAAGCAGGAGTTAGTTAGCCTGGGCTACCTAAGATCACGTAGGTAGATAGATGGATTGATAAATACGAATGACAGAAAGTGAAAGCTGATAATGCATCAGAAACTTCTATAGTGTGATAGAGATGGAAGTCATCATTATCCTATTGGAAGTCACCCTTTTTTTTATAAAGAAACGTGATTTTTGCATTGTTCAGAGCAGCACCCATGGTAAACATAAACAGAGGCATGCATTCACTAATCCGATGTGCTGTGACCAGTTCCTGTCACCTTGACTGTCAGCAGTGACAGATTGTGACCTGGGGTTGTGAGCAGAACAAATCTGTTCTCCCTTAGTTGCTTCTGTCAGGGTGTCTAGAGTAAATGCTGTTCATGCTGTGGGAAATGCTCTTGTACACTGTAAAGATTGTCACTCATACTAGTTTAATAAAACACTGACTGGCCAGTAGCCAAACAGGAAGTATAGGCAGGGCAACCAGACTAAAAATTCTGGGAAGAGGAAAGGCAGAGAGTCAGTCACCAGCCAAACACAGAAGAAACAAGATGAGAATGTCTTACTGAGAAAAGGTACCAAGCCACTTGGCTAAAAATAGACAAGAATTATGGGTGAATTTAAGTCATAAAAGCTAGTTAATAATAAGCCAGAGCTAACAGGCCAAACAGTTTATAATTAATATAAGCCTCTGTGAGTTTATTTGGGACTGAACGACTGTGGGACTGGGCAGGACAGAAACGTCTGTCTACAAATGGTGCCCAATGTTCTGCAACTACATCTGCATAAAATGAGAGCTTGGGAAGGGATTCTAGACACAAAAGAACAGAGTTAAGCATGGCTTCTTGGTACCAGCATTTTCTCAGATGGGCTCTGTTTGCTAGAGGCAAATGGAGGTGCGGCTCCTTTCAGAAAGGCTTTCTGACTCAGTGTTAGCAGCAAAGATCTATCAATTCTCTTGAGAGGGCCTGCCACCAAACACTTAAGTGGTGTATTTGAGCATCTGGCAGCGTGCTTCTTGGTGGTGGCATGGACCTAGAAACTCTACGAATTTCGGCAATAAACATGGCTCCTGCCTGTACCTCCAACAAGAAACTAGACTCTCAGAAAGCTAAGGAATGGGGCGGAGCCAGCCACCAAAGCTGCAGCTTTAACCTTAGCCGTGCTGCTTAGAAGATTAAAGAATCACGTGCTCAGAAAAAGATAGATATATACAGTAAAAACAGATTCTGACAGGAAAAAAAGTCTCTAAATGGTTTACAGTGTGTTTAAAAATATACGTAGGCTTGGGAAAGAAAAGAAAAAGTATAAAGTCCTTTAAAAAATAAATAGAGTAGCTGGGTGTGATGGCACATGCCTTTAATCCCAGCACTTGGGAGGCAGAGATAGGCAGATCTCTGAGTTCAAGGCCAGCCTGGTCTATAGAGTGAGATCCAGGACAGTCAAAGAAACGCAGAGAAACCCTCTCTCAGAAAGCAAAAATAAGCCGGGTGGTGGTGGCGTACACCTTTAATCCCAGCACTTGGGAGGCAGAGGCAGGTGAATCCCTGTGAGTTCAAGACCAGAGTTTTTTGTTTTCTCTTTTTTTTAAAAAAAAGGGGGGGCACTTAAAGATGAAAAATACAGAGAGCAGGAGACCACTTCCTACGTATAACCCCAGCAGCACAGACATTAAGGGCATCATTGAATAAATGGGACCTCCTGAGACTGAGAAGCTTCTGTAAAGCAAAGGACACTGTCACTAAGACAAAAAGGCAACCCACTGACTGGGAGAAGATCTTCACCAACCCCACAACTGACAAAGGTCTGATCTCCAAAATATATAAAGAACTCAAGAAACTAGACCGTAAAAGGCTAATCAACCCAATTATAAAATGGGGCACTGAGCTGAACAGAGAATTCTCAACAGAAGAAGTTCAAATGGCCAAAAAAACACTTAAGATCATGCTCAGCTTCCTTAGCGATCAAGGAAATGTAAATCAAGACAACTCAGAGCTCTACCTGCCTCTGCCTCCTGAGTGTTGGGATAAAAGGCGTGCTCCCATTACCACCTGTTGGGGCACAGACAGATGTGATCCTCTTCCACACTGTCTAAAGGTCACGAGAGTCTGAGCTTATTTTTGCTCTCTCAAGGTTGTTGACAACAGGTGTTGACAAATGAGAGATTCTGACTGGTCCAGGGTGTGGTTAATTAGGATTGTGAATGTTGAAGTAGATCTGCTCAACCCAGACCAAAGGTTGGAAAATTGAAATCTATTCCTTGTATTGTGCTAATGAAATCTGTTGCTTCCCCCCTCCCCTTTTGTTTTGTTTCTTGGGCTTTTTTTTTTAAAGATCTATTTTGTGCAGCTGAGTAGAAAGTACAATGAAAAGGGAAACTTGCCAATTAAGCCGTTCCCGCATCCCAAACTCTCCAGGTGTCAATATGAGTGAGAACTAATGGTGCCTCCTTACGGTGAGTTATAGAACTGCACAAACCAACCTTTGGTTCAAAAGGGTGAAGTGGCTAGCTTATTTATTTGTTTGTTTGTTTGTTTGTTTGTTTGTTGGTTGGTTGGTTGGTTGGTTGGTTGGTTTTCAAGACAGGGTTTCTCTGTGTAGCCCTGGCTGTCCTGACTACTCTCTCTGTAGACCAGGCTGGTCTCAAATTCAGAGATCCACCTGCCTCTGCCTCCCGAGTGCTGTGATTAAAGGCATAAGCCACCACCAAGCTTTTTAGGCTTACGGATTTTCAGTACATTCTCCCAGAGTTTAGCGCGCACACATTGACCTATGCACAAGTTCTTACGCCTATAGTGCAAGGGACCAAGAGAGCAGAGGCCTGGGGCTTGGAATGCGGCCGCACAAAGCCTGAATAACAAGACGGAGCAGACTGGCAGATCAGAGGGAATGAATAAAGTCCAAGTCTGTGTAGCTGGATGTACTTTGTTTCTCTGAACCTGTGCAAAAGGTTCAGAGTTCAGGGATCTGTGTACAGAAAGTTGCAGGTCCTGTGTGAAGACGGAGCCCAGAGCCCTGGGCAGAGAACTGAGGAGATGCAGACCCAAAGCAGTCCCTTCATTTTCTGCGGCCCTTCATGGACATGCCTGCCCCGAAAAGCCAGGGATGCCAACAGACCAAACAACGTCACGCTGAACGAAGGAAGCAGCGGGACAAGGAGCCATTTAGATAATCCAGCGGCTTTTGGGCTTGGCTGCACACTGGGAAAATTTGGTGCTCATGACTGGACCATACCACCCTCTCCTGTGATCTGAAACGAAATGAAGTGCTAGCACTTAAACCCAACATACACTGGTTTTTCAAGTCACTCGGATGAGTGTTTTCAGTGAGTTTTTGCTTTTGTCTTTGAAACGGAGTCTGCTGTGGCTTGCACGTGAAGTGTCCCCCATAGCCTCACGTGTTTGGTGCTGTTTGAGAAGGTTGTGAAGCCTTTAGAACAAACAGGGGAACTGGGGGGGGGGGGGAGCCTAGCTGGAGGAAGTACTTCAGTGAGGACTGGCTTCCTGTAATCCTAATTCCTTTTTGCTACTGCAGTGTGAGAGAGCAGCCTCACACTCCCGTCATCCCGCCCTTGAGTCAGGACAGACTCAACCGTCGCCCCCTCCGGAACTCTCAGTCAAAACAGACCACTTCTCTCTTAAGGTGCTTTTGTCAGGTTAGATTTTATCATCGCCACAGTAAAGGAACTAAGGCAGATCTCTTTGGCCTGCGACTTAATATTTATGTTACTCAGGCTGGCTTCAAACTCACAGCAATCCTCCTGACTCAGCCTCCTAGTGCTGGGATTATGGGTATGAACCACTTTCATAACTCTTTTTTGTTTGTTTGTTTGTTTTGGATTTTAAGTAAACAGAAATTTATTCCTCGCTTTCCTCACAGCTCTGGGTGTTACACCACATAGCATCTCCTCAAGGAATTGCTTGTTTGTTTGGTGGTGGTGGTTTGTTTTTGCATTTTGTTTTGGTTTTTAAGACAAAGTCTTATACATTGCAAGTTTGCCTCGAATCCGCTTTGTAGCTGAGGTTGATTTTTGAACTCCTGATCTTCCCGCTTCTTAACATTCATCCAGATTAAGAATTCTTCATCAATGTAAGATCCTTAAGGCTAAAACCATAGTTGTCCGACTAAAGCTAAGACAGAGAATAGACCTCAAGAATGTGGGTCTGCCAGAAAGACAAACTTAATATGCACTCACTCATAAGTGGCTTTTAGACATAAAGCAAAGAAAACCAGCCTACAAACCACAATCCCAGATAACCTAGACAACAATGAGGACACTAAGAGAGACATACATGGATCTAATCTACATGGGAAGTAGAAAAAGGCAAGATCTCCTGAGTAAATTGGGAGTATGCAGATCATGGGAGAGGGGAAGGTGGAGGAAGGGAGGAGAGCAGAGAAAAATATATAAATCAATAAAAACAATTAAAAATTGGGGGTCTGAACTTCTGGGAAAGGCTCTTCAATCAACAATCAGATTCAGAATGAGCTGACTAGAAGAAGAAAGGATTATAAAGCAAGAACTCAAGCTATCTCCAGCTGTTAACTGATTTTTCATTTTATTTTATTTAAGATTTATTTATTTTATTTTATGAGTATGACTATTTTGCCTACATTATGTCTGTGTACCACGTGTACGCAGTGTCCGCGGAGGCTAGAAGGGGACATAGGATTACCTAATACTAAAGTTACCGATGGCCATGAGCCATCGTGTGGGTGCTGGGATAGGAACCTGGGTCCTTTGGAAGAGCAGCTTAACCAGTGCTCTTAACCACCGAGCCATCTCTCCAGTCCCGTGTTAACTGATTTTAAAGGGTGCACAAAACATTATATGATGAGCTGACCAAAACTGTTTAACCTATTGTTTTTAGTTTTCACGGTGTGTGTGTGTGTGTGTGTGTGTGTGTGTGTGTGTGTGTGTGCCATCCCCTACTATGTGGGCTCTGTAGGTTGAATACAGGTCATTACATTAGGCTTGGCAGCAAGTGTATTTACTACCAGTTGAGCCATCTTGCCAGCCCTAACCTATCGATTCTTTAAAGAGGGTTTTCCTCTGGCAGAAGTGGAGCAAGCACCCAATCTCATAACTTGTAGGCATCAGTTCCAATCTGTGTTGTGTGGCTTATGAGGTAGTGGAAAGAACAGGAGCATTGGTGTAGTTTGTCAAGAGCAGCAGGACCTTGGGTGGGTCTCGGGCAGTTTCTTGGAGACTTGAGCATCTCCTCTGTAGGATAATAATATAAACTATTTCTCTGGGGACCTGAAAAAACAAAATGTCATATTCAAAGCAATTTTATTGGTTAGATTTGATGTTGGAAACTACCTGAATTGATCCTGAATTTAAAACTCTTAGGGAAGGTGAGGGATAGACAACAGTCATGGGTCACACCAGCAGTTCTTTGGGGGTTTGAATGAGAGTGACCCCCAGAGGCTCATATAGTTTAATGCTTAGTCCCCAGGTGGTAGAACTGTTTGGGAAGGATTACGGGGTGTGGCCTCGTTGGAGGAGGTGTGTCACTGGAGGTGGGCTTCTGGCTTTCAACCCTTCCCCCCCCCCCCCCCCCAAGATTCCTAGTTAGCTCCCTTGTGGTCGCGGATCGATGTGTGCGCTCTCAGCTACTGCTCCAGCACCGCCTGCCTCCCTGTGTGCCGCCATCTCCCCCCTTCTCCCGTCATGATAGTCATGACCTCCCCTTCAGAGCTGGTAAACTCCAAATAAACTCTTCTAGAGGTTGCCTTGCCCGTGTTGTCTTACCGCAGGGATAGAAGAGTAAGCAGGACAGCTTCCCCTGCTGCCTGCCACCTCACTAGGTCTGAAGGCAGCCCTGGCCCCTTCCACATCCAACATCCTTTGCCCTGTTCTTCAAATCCCTCATGGTTCAAATTCTTCTCATGCCTTTTTCTCAGCTATGGATGAAGAAAGAGGCTTTTTATTGCTCCGATTTGGAGATCTTTTTAGCCGGGTCTCCCACCTTCCTGTATGAGGACCCTTAGCTGGTGGTGGACCTTCCTGGTCGGGCATTTGACTGGATGGTGACTACCGATCCATGGCAGCCCAGAAAGAGTAAAACCACATGATGCCAACACCAAGATCATGAAGAGGGCCACAGTGCTTCCCAGAAGGGACGCCCATAGCAGGCAGATGTCTCCATGCTTCTGAGGTACCAGAAGCCATCTGTTTGTTCAAAGAGCAATTGTCTTGGCTTTTTGTGTGACCATGACTTAAAGTGTCCACTAGAGGGCAGGAGACTTACATTTAAGTTGTACAAAGACCAGGATACAATCCCCAGAATAATAGAGTGTTTATAGCAGCTCACAGCCAACTGCAATTCTAGTTCCAGGGGTCCCAGCACTCTCTTCTGGATGCTGTGGGCACCAAGCACACAAGTTGTGCACAAACATACGTGTGGGCAAAACATACACACACATAAAATAGTTTTGTTAGTTTATAAAATGAACCACACACACACACACACACACACACACACACGCATGCATACACACAGCACGGTATTCAGAATAGCCAGAAGAATACCCATTGGATGATACGAAACTCTTGGCACAGCGTGATCATCACAGTCCTTGAGAGGCTGAGGCAGAAAGATCACAGCAGTTCTAAATCCAGCCTCGGCTACAAAGTCGAGTCCTTTCTCACAGAGGAAAATGTGATATCTGCACCATGAAGTGTTGCTCAACAGGAGAAAGCAGTGAAATAGGGGCACATGCAGTGACCCACGTGATCCTCAGTAACACCGTGCTAAGTGGGAGGACCCGACACAAAGGTCACAGATGATGTAACTGTGTTTATGTGCTGCATCCAGAACAGACAAACCCACAACGGGTTTGTGTCAGTGCTGAGATGGATATCCGTGTCTGTTTGGAGAGGTTTTGGTCTTCATTATCTTTTCAACAAATGATAACACGTTGATGACCGGTTAGATCATAGCCAAAGTGGTAAAGAAGTCTTTGCAAGTTGGATTCATTATTTATGAAAGCAGAACAATTTCAGGTCTTAAAGTGAAGGTGAATTTTATTGTTAAATTTCTTTCATCACGTGTCTTTTTGTAGAGACAAAGTTACATACCATTTTCAAGCAGCTTGTCAGCATCTAGTTTGTTCCCGCTGTTAGTCAGCTACAGCCTCTGCATTCCCAAACCTTTTCAACACCCCAAACAGACCCGTTATGAAGTCCCTGTTTCTCTTTCTCTGCTCCCCATCCCTGGCAGTCACCAATCGTTTGAAGCCCAGGCACCTGGGTCTGGGAGATGGGATGGGGAGGAATGGGACTGTGCCTAATTTCCTTTACTATAAACACCAGTGAGAGCTATGGGGATGGGGGGGGGGGTCCTCTTAGAAACAGCCCTGCTACCTGACTTCACGTTTGTCAACCACAAGCAGTACGCCACAGTTCAGCGGTGTTTAAAGACACATCGGAGACACACACATTCAAATGCACATCTTCCTCCAGGGCCTTACACCCCAGCTTTGGCCATTAGTCCTTGATTTGCTGGAGGGTCTGCTGGGACAAGGATGGGCACCCTGCTGTGGCAGCGGACCTGCCATTTTGCTGCCTCTATATCCTAGCTTGTCACTTATTTCTGCAAACCCCAGGAGATGGCATCTGGCTGTTCTTTGTTTCTTATACACAAACCACAGGGAAAAGAAAGTTTATTCAATAAGTGGTTGTGTGACAATTAGGAAATTACCTACAGGGGAAAAATAGCCACATTCTTGCCTTACACCTAATACTTTAATACTACAATAGATCCCAGAGAAGTAAAAGGTTTGGATGGTAAAAGAAAGACGGGGACAAAGACGGGGCTAACGGCAAATGGACTACCGTTCCAGCACTAGGAAGGTGGAGGCCAGGGGATTCAAGCCAGCCTCGGCTATCGACGAAGTTTGAGGTTAGCCTGGGCTATAAAAGACCGTATTTTGTAACGACATCTTAAAATCTGCAAGCAAATGGATGGAGCTAGAAAACATCATATTAAATGAGGTAACCCAGACCCAGAAAGACAATGCACATAGGTACTCACTCATAAGAGGTTTTTAAACATAAAGCAAAGAAAATCGACCTACAAATCACAATCCCAGAGAACCTAGACAACAGCAAGAACTCTAAGAGAGACATACATGGATCTAATCTACATGGGAAGTAGAAAAAGACAAGATCTCCTGAGTAAACTGGGAGCATGGGAGAGGGTTGGAGGGGAGAGGAGAGTCAGGGAGGGGAGCAGAGAAAAACATATAGCTCAATAAAATCAATAATAAATAAATAAATAATAATAATAAATTTAAATTAAAAAAGACAAAACCTCCAATGTTGTGAATTAAAAAAAATAAGAAAATAAAATAAAAATGGAACATATGGGGAAAAAAGAAACCCTATTTTGAAAATGCAGAAACAGAACGAATGAAGCTCTCCCTCCTTCCACTTGTCCTCTAACGAGCCTGGGCAGCCAGAAAGCAGGGCAGGTGCTTCCCCAGAGCAGCGGGTGGGCGTGATGGCCGAGCCAGGGGAGAGGCTCAGAGCAGCGGGTGTGATGGCCGAGCCAGGGGAGAGGCTCAGAGCAGCGGGTGTGCTGGCCGAGCCGGGGAGAGGCTCCTCCACCTCGTATTCTTGCCGAGGCCATTTCGGGTTTAACTAGAACCTTATCTCCTTTATGCAGAATCCCACTAAAAGTTTCCTGCCTCTCTTCGAGGAGCCAAAGGTCAGGGTGCCCTGGCTAATTATCTTGGCTTCAGTTACAGCTGCTTGCTTCAAACTGCTACTTCTGCGAAGCTCCCTTGCAGCTGCCGCTAGAGCGAGATGCCAGGATGTGGTTTCTGCTTTTTAAAAAACCCCATGTTCTGGACACTCGAGGCTACACCCAGACACTTGGATATTCCCAGCCGGCTGGAATAAAGACTTTTAACTGGCTATAGTAGTCACCTGTGGTGAGCTCCCCGTCGCACAGGGAACTGGAGCAGTGTGCAAAGGTCCTGATACAAGTCCAGACTAATTGAATCAGAATGCACAGGGAAGGCACTCAGCAGTGGAGCTTTTACCTTGTCACCAGGAAGATAACCAGCATCCACACAGAAGTCTTGGATGCTACTCCAAAGGGGAGATAAGGACATTCTGTCCTCCCTATCTTTGGCCACCTGTTATGTATTGAATATTTTAATGCATGGCCCCCAGCTTAGGATATTGTCTTAAGAGGGTATGGAGTCTTTGCTAGTTGGTCATTAGTTGGGCTGGGGATAGTTACTGGAGGTTATACCTACTGTCTTAGTTAGGAATCTATTGTTGTGCAGAGACACCATGACCATGGCAACTCTTATAAAGAAAAACATTTAACGGCTTACATTTTCAGAGGCTTAGTCCATTGCCATCATGGTTGGACATAGTGACATTCAGGCAGACATGGTGCTGGGGAGGTAGCTGAGAGTTCTACAGCTTGCACAGGCAACAGGAAGTGATCTGAGACATTGGGAGTGACTTCAGCATATATGATCCCTCAAATTTCACCTCCACAGCGGCACACTTCCTCCAGCACAGCCACACCCACCCCAACAAAACCACACCTCTTAACAGTGCCACTACCTTTGAGGGGCATTTTCTTCCAAACCACTACACCCACCTTTGGTTCCTATTGCTCTCTGCTTCCTGGTGCGCCTTAGGTGAACAATGTTATGGAACTGTTATGGTCTACCTGACATGGGCTAAATCGTGTCCACTCAACCCCAGTTCACTTGCTGAAATCCTAAATCCGGAGCCTACACTGTGCTCTACTTGGAAGTAGGTTTATTGCCAACTTAATGAGTTGAATTAAGATGAAGTTATTAGGTTAAGCCCTACTCCAGTGACTGCCGTCCTTTTAGAAGGGGAGATGTCAACAGAGGCATACATGAGACCATCCCAAGGAGACAAAGGGGAAGCGATTCCTTCATATCCTTCATAAGATAAAGATCACCAAGTAGCGAGAGTGAGCCTACAGAAGCCAGGCAAGGTGTGTAGAGCAGGCTGTCCCACACAGTCCCCAGAAGTATTGTCTCTGCTCACACTTGATCTTGGACCCTTAGTCAAACAAACAGAAACCTGTCCGTTGTGTAAATCACCCTTATTTGTGACCTTTGTTACAGCAGCCCCAGTGAACTAATTAATTACACTCCCCACTGAAGATTTACCCTCCCCCACCTCCTCCCCCACTGCTCTGCAAGAGTACTCGGCAGGTGGCCAGCAGTAAGGACTGTGTTAGAAGAAGAAAAAGGACTTGAGCAAATGGAGCAAAGACAGGTCAAGACTAGCCTAAGAAGAGGCAGTATCTGCCAGTCAAAGAAATGGCAGGGCTGGCAAACAGAGGGTGAGGGTCCCCATTGCTGTGGGCAAGATAAACACCCACTTACTGTTTAGTTGGAAAAGGCCAAGACCACAGAGGCTGCTCAAATGTCAAAGAGGTGGGGCTGGCGGGAAGCCAGCACTCCCCTGGACTCTGTCCCCATGGCAGACTTTGTGGTGGGACTTTTTACCTGGGAGGTGTGTTGGGGGTTTCATGGAGACCCTAGGGTGCTCTGGTATACACCCTGAGTCCCAGCTCTTAAGGCTGCTGAAGGCGTTTCTTTTTGTGACAGTTGCTCATTAAACCAGCAGGTTTTGGTGACCTGCTAAGTTAAGTTCAAACCCTGTGCTGAACCTGCAGCGCCTGGCACTCCTCAGCCCAGCAGCTCAGCTCTGCCAAGAAACTGGGATCTCACTGTAGCTCTTGGAACCGCATTCTAAACTTGACCATTGCCTGGCACAGCAGCTGGAATAAAAGCTCTTGGGGCTGTCGGAGAGAACCTGGGAGCTATGCTTGGCCTTTCCTTCTGGCTCCCTCCGACCTCCTCCCACCCCACTTCCTCGCTCTCTACTCTCACCTCATTCTCCCCACTCCTAACCCCTCACTCTTGCCTTCTCCCCCTTTCTCGGCCCCACCCCAAACCTTCCTCTGCAGTTGAGAACTAACCTTGGCTGCTTCTCGTACCTCCTCTTCCCACCTCCCCGTTCTGCTCCCTTCAGTTTCTCCTTCCCTTTCTCACTTCTCTCCCCACTCCCTGTTCCCCTTCTCTCTTTCTTTCTCTCCACCACCTACCCTTCCCCGCCCCCCACCTTCCCTCTGCCTCAGCCCTCAGTGTTTGCTTTTCTCCCGGATACGGATGAAAGGGTTGGCCTGCCCGTGCCCTGCCCTATCCAACTTCTTGGAACTGGGGGCCTGCTTAATGGCTGAGGGTTCCCGGACGCAGGCATCGGGTCAAGGGCCTCCTATCAACGTCCAGTTCCTCCGCGCCCAGTATGAAGGTCTGAGGAGACAGCAGAGGACCCAAGCCCACCTGATGGTGTTTCCTAAAGGTAGGGCTGGGCAAATTCTGGAGGGAAGGGCCTTTCTGTAGTTGGAACAGATGACTTAAAGTCCACAGTGGGCAGGACCGTGGCTGAGACAGTCTCCTGAAGAGGAAGAAAAGAGCCGCGGATGACCCAGTCAGAACGGAACCAGGGAGGCTAGATCAGGGTGGCTCTGCCT